TGACCTACAGACGTGATATCGCTAAATCGCTATACGTAGTCATGCGTCATGCGTAGTACGTGTTACAAAAAGATCGGTCAACCCTTACGAAGGGCAAATGGCAGAACATGAGCACGGCATCGGAACGAACACCAACTGAAGAGTGGGAGGATTCGCGACACGTGACGGCAGACGGCAACTACTGCGGCAGTGGTGGGACTGGGGTCGCTTAGCGGCCTTGGCGGGACGCAGGACGATTGCGCTCATGTCTGAAATTTAAAATTACGTCTCTTTCAGCTTTATAATTCTTTGCAATTTATTATATGTACATTATAACAAGCCAGCAGAGGTACATAATATGCAAAGTAATACAAAATATCGAAAGCAAAGTACCATTCATAATGTTGTTCATTGGAGCAGCCAGCGAAAAATTAGCAGCAATAATATTAGTAATATAAAGAATAATAGGAAAAGATATGAATTTTGTTAATAATGATTTTACATGTGAGCAAGTAAAAAAATTTTTATATTTGCGAATTTACAACTGAAGAAATTATAAATCTTTATTTGATAGTAATTATGTGTATAGTTTGTATAACGAAGCAATTTATATTGAAGCTCATATTTACAGCATCGATAAATTAATTTTCTTTTACTCTAATCAAAACTACATTTCAAATTTGTGATGATACGAGTAATAATCTTCATAATCTTCCATTGATAACATAGAATTTTATTATATGTATGCGATGCGTAATATCTGGTAATACGTTGTATTTTAGGCAAGGTGACGGTCATGGTATTGGTATTCGGATACCCCTACTGCTAGATAACCCGCACAGCAGGGCGAACAAGCTTGCGCTGAAGTATAACAGTGTATAGGTGCGAATCTACAACCACAGCAGTCTCTATCCCTACTTGTCTACCACGTTCCTTACACAGTCTCAAGCTCAAACAGTATGGTCGCTCGGGTCGCTCGTGCAGTTTTCTATGAGTGACAAGTAACGGTTCGCGAATTAAAGAAATAAAACGTCGAATAATGATTAATCATAACTGAAGTCAGACCGAGATCTGTGTAATGATCAAAGATATGGCTGATGATGAGGCCATACAGGCCACTAATGACGACGCGAGTGAATGTAAAAGATACGCGGTTCAACTTGGTTACTGGTCCGATCCATTTATTAACTTTTTCGTAAAACAAACCGGACGAAAAGCACCCGAAATCAATCGTGGCTACTTCGCGAGAGTGAAGGGGATCGAAGTTTTCATTGACAAATTCCTTAAGGTACGTGTTGTTTCTCTTTAATTCTTTTCTCGGCTTCATTGTCGCAACGTTCGAAAATTCGCATAACCTAGAACATAATAGAAAACAATCCGGGATACAGCTGATTTGAGTAGAGAAGGACGTGTGCAATGCCGGAAACCTTGACCTGGCCGAGGCCCTGTCCTAATTTCCAAAGTCCCCCTTTTACCATGGAACACTAAAATAGGTTAATCTCATACAAATATCGGTCTTTTTATTGTTTATCACAATAGCAAACGTCCGACAATACAATTGTTAAATGATGTTCAAATTTTCTTTTTGAAGTTAGCGAACATAAGTGTCTTTATTTGTTTTCTTACTTCAATTGGTGGCAATTTATATGCATTTATGATATTGCTCCTTTACTTAATTATGTTTCAAATTTGTATGAGCATAAAACAAGTTTTAGTTAATCTTTCCCTTAGGTTGATCTTAGTGTTAGTGCATACATGTACATATATACTATGCGTAAAAATGATAATACATATATTTTTAAATAAATTTGTTTACATACTACACATAGATGTGAAATTAATTTATGCCAAATATAGCTGTCTGGTGAAAAAGGCCAAATTATAAACTTGGGTGCTGGATTTGATACACTTTATTGGAGACTCAAGGAAGCAGGAAAGACTCCAATAAATTTTGTAGAACTTGATTTTCCTAGCATCACCGCTAGAAAATGTTATCACATAAAAAAACGCAAGCACTTGATAGACATGTTAAATACAGAAGGTAAATTAATTCATTTCTGTCGAAAACATTATTCACAGACTTCTGTATAAATATTTAGTTTTGTTAATTAATCAATTTTACAGATGGAGAAATTAGGTTTTCAACAACAGATTTGCATGCCGCCAATTATCATTTGGTGGGAACAGATCTGCGGCACATATCTGAACTTATTAATAAATTAACAGAGGCAGAAGTTAATTTTAATCTCCCAACCATGTTCCTTGCAGAATGTGTCTTAGTGTATATAGACACTAGTGCAGTTTCTACGTTGTTAAAATGGCTTGCTGCAAAATTTTCAAATAGTCTTTTTGTTAATTATGAGCAAGTGAACATGAAGGATAAATTTGGTCAAGTTATGTTATCTAATTTACGCAGTCGTGGATGTTTGTTAGCTGGTGTAGAAGATTGTGAATCTTTGGAAACCCAACAGAGACGGTAAGTGCGACATTTTGTCTTCTCTATTTTAATAGTAAATGTTATATCAAACGTGTAATAAAACAATAATATGGTTTTTAGTTTTACGATAAACAATTGGGAAGGTTCTAATGCGTGGACAATGGTAGAAGTCTATGATTCACTGCCTCAAGATGATCGTAGTCGAATCGAGCATATAGAGATGTTGGATGAACGAGAACTTTTAGTCCAGTTGTTGCAACATTATTGTATCTCAGTTGCTTGGAATGGGCAAACATTTAAGAATTTGTCTATAGCACAGGGTTAGATTTCCTAACTCTTGTAAGTTACTCCAGGTACGGATACCATGTCACTAAAAATCTTTAAGCTTGTAAGTACATATGTGGTAACTAATGATGTAAAGTTATTAATAACATGAAAATCAGTTTTAAAGTTCAATTTTCAGTATGGTATAAAACTAATAAATATGTCGGATTATAATAGTATCTTTTCCTCCATTATGTAAGCAAATATTTCGTATGTTTTTGCAGTATTATAGAAAATGAAATAAACAAATGTTTAGTTTCGTTATATTAAACTTGAAGCCAATTTATCCTACTTTCATTGTAATTGTATATTATACATGTCATGATTGTATTATTAAAATAACATTATCGAAAGTTTAAAATCATTTCTTGGGTAATTGGTTAAGAAGTCGTATTTAAATATACAAAGCCAATTTTCATTCGTATTTCAGAATCCACGTGTTCTTCCTGTAAAAATTAAACTTCTACTTAGAATTAATTGTAACATTTAACAAATTCTGTTTTCATACGCCATTTATTACTTCGTACTTGTAAGCTCTCACACATATTTATAAATTTCCTACCAAGCCGTACTTTCGATTAGTATTATATATCGTTAATTAATTAATTATGTATGCAATTTTTTATGAAGGTGATTTATGTAACATAATAACGTGCAACGAAAGTGAGATTTTACGTAAACATAAAAAGAGAATAGGACAGCACATGTTTTGGAAATAAATTTTTTTAGTATACCATTTTCTAAATGTTCCAACTAATTTAAACGATTATTTACGTGTACAGAAAGAATTAATTAAAATACATTTAATATTCACATTTATAATACTATAACTTAGGCTATTAAGATATGATATATTTCTGTGTGTTAAAGGAAATGTATACAGGAGAAAATTGTATTTCCATCGTTATTATTTTCATAAAAAAGACATAGATAGGTGGATCATAAAATTGTAAACAAATTTCTCAGGAAACAAATTACTAACACATTGATTAGACAATATTTTTGAGTCAATGTCATTCGAAAGAATTCAAGTTGATTCATTAACTTGTCGCCTACTTAATAAAAATATGACAGTGTTATTTTTTTATAAAGGAACATCAGGGTTGTGATATATAAAAACGTACTAAAACTAATGTGAAAGTTGAAACTTTATCAGATGATGGATATTTACAAAATTAAGTTACATTGATCGCAAAATCAGTTTTTGTATTTCTTTCTATTTCTCGAATCTCGTGTTTAGCTTTTACTGTACTTCTTTCTATTCGTGATAATACATTTGCTAATATTCTTATAAAGGCTTATTAGACCATAAGGTGTAGTACATAGGGGAAACACAAAATATATTTAAAAAAAAAAGTGAGTTCACATACGTTGTAGAATTCATATGTTTTTTGAAGATAGCATTACATACCTGGAGTAACGTCAACACTAAGAAATAATCTAATATTCTATTTTTCTGAAAAGTTATGAATCACAGTTATACCTGTCAGTGATGGTAGATTCCAATTTCCATGTTCTAAACATTCAATAATAAAATCATACCTCATCATAATAGTTTCATAACATCTTATTTACTTTGGCGGTATTTATTATGCATATATGTTAAATATTTTAGATAACTTCAAGTTTGAGAATCAAATTAGATAGTCACCGATTATCACGAATTAGAAAGTTAAAGCACTGCCAATATAGAATTGAAAAATGCTAATGCAATGTACTTTCTATTAAATTATAATTGTTTCTTTTTGGATTTTGAACCAAACCGTACGTACANCAAGCAAAAGAATTATATAATATGATAATTTGAGTCTCAAACTTAAGAGAAAATTTCCATAATAGTAAAGTACGCAATTCTATGTTTCTGCATGCATTTCACTTCATATTTAATGTTATTAATGTCTTATATGGATGCTGTAAAAGTTAAATCGTACAATGGCTATATTCTGTGTGCTTCCATATTATAGACAGATATAAAAATGATCAGAAAGTATATTCTTACCTTTGTGTAATGTTGTGATATTGTTAAATTGTGCATTTATATTACAATTAGAAGAATGTAATCAAGAGTTTAATGCTAATTATAAATTAAAGTATTGTGGTACTTCGTTTCTTATATTTAATATCATAATCATCATGAACAGAAGCGGAAGGAGCAGTGATATTATTAGACATTTTAAAATTACGTTGAAGAAACCATAAATGAATACAGTTACAATTACTTTTATTTAATTTACTGTACATTATTCTATTTTCAAACCGCTATTTTGTGAGGTTTACTGGAAAATAAACAGCATCTACCTTCATGTGTACATTTTTTATAACAATTTATTTACAGTATCAATTTCATGAAAAAATATCAAAAAATATCCAATATAATAATACATTCAATACTTTCAAAATTACATTCCTTATCAAAATACAATAGTTTAATAATTACTTTATATCGCCAATTAAAATATTTTAATTGTTATTTAAAGCGTATTTGTTTAAAGCTCATATGTACAGTAGACTCCCGATTATCCAGTTCTGCTTTAATTAGTCTCCGCAGTAACCAGTCATTCATTTTTGATAATATAACGACAATTGACCAGAAAAAAATTATTGACATTTCATAATTATTCACACTCGACTAATTGTAATTTTCGTCCTACTAGTCATCATTTAAATAGCCCTAATCCTACTAAGTTTTTATATGCGTACTAAATTTTTGAGCACTGGATTCTGCACATCTCTTCCTCTGAGATGTACATTTTCTGCGTTAAAAAAAACTGATATTACTTAATCAATATTATAGATACAGTTATATGAATATTAATGGTTTTTAGTAATTATCTAGAAATAAAATAAAAATATGTGATTCTTGTCGGATGAACTGGTCAATCGTTCACCTGGCCAGGCTCGGTCCCACAGGACTCGGTTAAGCGAGAATCTACCGTATACACATATATTTATGATCAATGCAATTTTGTATAAAGCCCTCGATATGCATTGATGTAATTATATAATAACTAATCTTATTATTAAATACCCAGTGGATTTAGCTGAACACATCCACCAACATCGCACACATTTCTTGAAATTTTACTTAAATTAGTAAACACATTCAATTGTTTATCAGATGAAATTGACTTTAAGTTAGAATTCACGCGTCTTGATGCCTAGAAAACAATTAATGATTATGAATTCATAACATGAGGTTTATGAAAAAGAAATATACTTACTTCGGAGCACCAAGTTTGTGCCATAAGAAGTTCGTGCTCCATACTTGGAACTTTGTTATTTACCGACATAGACGCTCTGCTCATTATGATAGCTGACGTGTAGATATCAAATGCTGCTTGAGATATTCTATTCAAAATAAATTGTTGGTCCACAATATTGCGACCATATTTGATAAGAGCAGATTCTATACACTGACCAAAGGTTTCTATATTCTGCAAATTATTATTCACTATTAAATAACAGGTGCTTATGTACATATTAACAGTAAAAATTGATACAAACACTGGCACATGAAGCAGCGCTTTCTTGTAAACTCGGATGAACTAAATGCGAGAATTTGGGCGTTGACGCTAATCCGATAGCTCGCGTTGCTCGTTTAGTCGCTTCTTCGAAAATTAATCCCAAATTAGCGGTAGGGTTCTTGAATGCTTTCTGCAATTCCTTCAAATGACTTCCCGCATACTGAATTCCGGTAAGCGCAACGAAAAGACGAAGTATATCGTTAGTTCCTTCGAAAATTCTAAAAATCCGTACATCTCGCATAACTCGTTCGAGACAGGCTTCACTCATGTATCCCATTCCACCAAGTACTTGGATAGATTCGTCGCAAACCCACCACGCAGATTCTGATGCAAAACACTAAAAGACCCATACTTTCTTTTTTAAATATAGTACGATTTATAATTATTAATGTTCTGAAATTAAAATCTTACTTTAGAGATTGCAGCTTCTAAGTGATAATCCTGACTTCCGTTATCCATATTGCCACAAAGTGCATACGCGAGGGTTTCAGTTACGTAGTGTAACAATGCCATACGACCTATTTTTTCCTGAATAGTTCCATAATTATCTATCGTCCGACCAAATTGTACTCGTTGCGTTGCATGTTCTACTGCTTTTTTAATACAGTACCGCTGAGTGCCGCTAAGAGCAGCAACCATACCGAATCGACCATTATTTAAAATAGTCATTGCAACCTAGAGACATATGTACGCAATTAATATTTAAAATGATTTAAGAAATTCGAATTTCTTGCAGACCTTAAACCCTTGTCCTTCGGCATTCAAGACATTTTCGGCTGGTATTTTGACATTTTCGAAATGTACTTCCGCAGTGTTACTACACTTAATACCCATTTTTTTCTCTGGCGGTCCACTTGTTACACCACCAAAGGATCTCTCAACGATAAACGCGGTAACTTTATCCTTGGTTTCACCTGTTTCTGGATCTTTGGTTGGTACTTGTGCAAAAACTGTCATTATGCTTGCCAGGCCACCGTTAGAAATCCAAATTTTGCTACCATTTAAGACATAATGCGAACCATCGGCCGATTTCACAGCACGAGAACGAATCGAACCAGCGTCTGAACCACAGCTTGGTTCTGTGAGGCAGAATGCTGCATATTCTCCATTACAAACTCTTGGCAAATATTTTGCCTTTTGTTCTGGTGTACCAAATAGCAGTATGCCCTACATGGCGTTTTATTATTAACATCATAATTCTTCTATAAAGTGTTATGAGAAATAAAAGAATGAACAAATACCTTGAATCCTATACTTTGATGTGCACCCAGAGTTATACCAACGCCTAAATCGTTGTATCCACAAATTTCAACGCATCTCGCGTATTGAGTATTAGTTAGTCCCAGTCCACCATATTCTTGAGGTACTTGCAAACCAAATACTCCAAGGTCCCACATAGCTTGCATAGTTTTCTCATCGATCGACGCATTCTCGTCATTTTTCATTGCATCATTTATTTCCTGTTGATAAAAATTGAATTACACTTATTAAAAGCTTACAGCATATTTTTGATAATTTCTGATAGTGCCTTTATTACCTCGAAAAATTTATCCATGGGGTCAATTAACAATTTTAGTGTATCTACTTGTTCCTCGTTCAAAGTTTTCGGAAATGGAAATACTTGATTGGTTTGTAAATGACCACGGAACAAGTTCATTACAAAGGACTGTGTCTCTTTCGGAGCTGCATTTTTTTTCAGTTTTTCCTCTGCTACATTTTTTACAGCAGCTTGAGTGGCCAGACATCTGAGTAGTATCGCAGTGTTAATTAAATTTTAACTGAACATTTGTTAATAAAAATTGCCTAATCGTAAATTATGCAATCAATGTTTGTTTTCCTTCAATTGCACAATTTACTTGTCTACTTCGTTTAAAAATCATACAGTGTATTTATGTATACATGTCATCTGTCCAAAGTCCGTTTAATTAACGGCATTTAGTTTACAACGATATATGAATAGTTGATGTATATTCATATATTCATACGTCGTATAAAGATAATATATTTAAAATCAAGCAGTTCATCAAGTATGTAAAAATGTTAAACTAAGAAAATTTCAAATACCGATTACTGTACGAGTAAAACTATAGTCCATTGTTTTGACAGATAATAATTATGATCTATGTGTGACGTTTACTGAACAAGTGCAGTACGTTTTACTTTCAAGTGCATAGTTATGATAGATATTATTAGATAAAACTTGACTCACCTGATATTAGAGTCAATAATTTTGACGTAATTTTGGGGTCTCGACCCGATATAATTCACAACTCGTAACATTTTTAATATTGACGATAATAGTAGGAGTATATATGTAGTTATGTGTAGCAATATACTTGGAATTTTAAGAAATGCTTGTATGTATATAAATGTTTGTAAAAAACTGACTCTAAAATTGCATTCTAAATATTTAAGATACGAATTGAGTGATTTCACGAAACTGGAACGAAATCCTACTTTTGTACACACAACTGTAAATACAGACGAATAGACAGTACGATCAAGTAAGTACGATAGTCATCAGAAAGTTGTTCAATCTGATTCAGTAAACAGCAGATAAATATATATATGTGTGTGTATGTGCAATTACGCCCTTTGCACCCTGACACCTAACACCATCTTCTTAAAAAATTCTCAAACTCAAATAAGTTGCTCATAATTATCGACAAAGAAGTGCATGAAATCAAAGTATATTTCGTTTTTATAATTAAAATCTGAAGATCAAATGAAGAATCGGGAGATTTTTATGAGTATATATTAAAAAGCATTACTTTGAGGTTTGATATACTATTTGATACTATTTGGTTTGATAGCTTTGCGTATGCAATGCCAATTGACCAACTTTACATCTTGTTTTGTAAAAAAGGAATTTGAAATCTTGACGTAATAAACGCAAAATGAAATATGACTAATCAGTACTACTTGTACTCAACGAAGGAATGCAGGTTACAAATTTAGTGAGTTGAATCAATATGATTATGTCGAACTCGCGATACAAGTTGGGAATATGGGTTGAATCATGATTCGCACAAAATGTAAGTTGTGTATTTATGGACTCATATCATATTTATTAACCACAACATAATATAATTATGTAATGTAACCAACAACTAAACCTTTCACAGATATAACTTGTACAATTACATGTGTTTATTAATTATAGGTAAATGATGTATTTCATCCAAACTATGTAATAAGAATTCTTTAAAAGGATACATATAAATATGATTGGTTACACAAAACTCTAAATTACGTGTTTGAACAAATTATTACAGTATTAATATGAGTAACATTGCTTCGTCAGATATATCAGTGAAATCATTATTCACACTTAATAATAATGATTTTAAAGAGTTTGCCTGTGGCTGGGGAGCTGCAGTTATCAATGTATCCATCACTTTCCCTATTCATAAGATTATATTTAGACAGGTATGTGTAAAAAGTGATTTAAGCATATTTTATTTGAGATGAAAAGATACGGGGAATAACTCTTGATTATTATTGCGTAGATCTTAGAAGATGTTCCAGCTAATACAGCCTTTCGGCAAATATCCAGGGAGGGAATACACCTGTTATATCGTGGAATTTTACCACCTTTTTGCCAAAAAACTTTTTCGGTTAGTGTAATGTTCAGTACATATGAAGGTTGTAAGGATCGTTTGTGCACATTAACAAATAACGGTATATTAATTAGAATATTAGCAGCCCATTTTGCTGGCACTGCTGAGGCTATACTTATGCCCCTCGAAAGAGTACAAACATTGCTGCAAGATTGGCGGTATCATGATAAATTTAAAAATACTTCTCACGCATTTAAATATTTATTGAAAAACTATGGTATATCGGAGTGTTATCGCGGATTAGTCCCAATCATATATAGAAATAGCTATTCCAATTTAATGTTTTTCATTTTGAAAGAACAATCACAAAAGCTGATGGGTGAGCAGGAGTCATTTTTAACAAGTTTCATCAATGGTGCATTAATTGGTGGTTTCACGAGTACTGTATTTTATCCAATAAATGTGATAAAGGTACACATTCAATCGAAGATAGGTGGCAATTTTGAAAAGTTTATGAGCGTCGCTCGCGAAATATATGTCGCAAGAAACAGAAGTGTAGTTTCATTTTATAATGGTGTGCATTTAAATTGTATGAGATCCTTTCTTAGTTGGGGTATTATAAATGTATCTTACGATTTTCTAAAAAGAATTATGTTCTGATAATAACTTACAATATAAACGATGATTTTCATCTATTTGAATAAAAATTTTACTCGTATAATTTTACGTTACATTTTTTATTGAACCAATTAATCGCACATTTTTTCCTGCGGTGAAGTATCAGGAGATTGCACAGAAAGAAGAAAAATAATCGAATTATTTAAAACAGTAAATCATCCTATAATTTAATGAAATGAGTATTGGCAATGACAATATTATAAAACATACAAAGGAAAATTGTATAGATTTATTTTTTTATTCGCTGAATAAAAATAAAAATACATCTCTTGTGTTTAATCATGCATTTATAGGTCTCGGTGCAGACGAGCGATTTGCGACAGCTTTTTCGTGGTAATCGTGTATTTATGTTTGCTATGTAATTATGAAAACACAGACAAACATAATCGTAGCGGCAAAACGTTGCCGCAAACTGCTCGTCTGCACTAAAGCAACCATTAATCGAATAATAATCAATGATTCTATTTAGCAAAGATTCATCTCAATAAATGTACTATTTAAGTGTTAATAGTAGCTTAACGTATGACTGTCACAACTAATAAATATTATACAGATGTTGTAATTAATCAAACTGCAAATATATAAGGAGGTGAGCAATTGATGTTCCCAGAGAGACTAATTGTAAGGTAAAAGTACCTATTTCCTATATTAAGTATAATATTTCCAGAGAAAGTAATAAATTATAAAATGCTTATTAATATGAATGAGAAAAGTGACGTAACAACTATTTATTATAAAACACCGTTTTCGTACTATGTCACGGTGTTTCATAAATACTTGTGCAGTTCAAAATGTAATTAAAAAGCTTGTACATCTGTTTTATAAACCAGTACACAGAGATAGAGGCAGGTCCTCAAATCTGAAATGCGTATACTATTACATAATTCGGAATATTAAAAAGATTGAAGTACACAAGAATGAAACAAATATAAATTTCATATATGCTACAAATATTTTTTTATTTTATTAAGTATGGAACAATTTAAAAAGTGGATTATAATTGAGACGGTGTTTTACGATAGGTACTCTTATCCTATAGCTTCAAATTTATATGTCCCGCGACTTGAGCGAACAAGGTACCCTATTGATGCGCAGCGCGTTAAGTAAATCGATGCGCCTCGGCCGCGGGCTTTTAGCTACTTTTAGCATACTCCAATTTTTCTGCGTCCCGGTTTGCACGGTTTACGGATTTTTCGTCCGTGCGAATGCATCAGAAAGTCACGATGTACCGATTGGAACTGTAAAAACGTTCAATGAACGTGTCTGGTGTAAAAAAATCGCGTGTCTCGCCTGCAAAAAACGTACCGCGAGCAACGCCAGTGCGTACTTTTCTCAAATAATAAAGAATATGATCACGGTTTCTTGTCATTCGAGTAGTGGTTGTCGCAGTCGTGTCGAATGATTCGTACGCGAGTAATATGTTAGTTGTGACACCAACGACTCGCGGAACTTCGTCAACCCCGACGATTATTGTTCAACAATACGGGGACTTGCATACACGAGCTGAATAATTGTATTAAATAATGAGAATCAACGCAACAAAAATGAGTAGTCTGATCGAGGAGAAGATTGATCAGAAGCTGAAGGTAAGAACTTAATTGTGATCACTTTTTTTAATATCTAACATCCATGTATTTCATTAGTCTGTATTTAAGTCTTTCTATTTTTAAGACAATTTTGCTGAATGTAATAAAATGAATATGATATAACGACAAACAGATCGTAGAAAATTAGATTTTGTAACTTAAAAAACTATTTATCTCATACTATGTCCTAGGATATTGTAAAAATAAACGTGAATTGTTATTGAACAATTTTCAAATAAACGATATTTTAATTTAAATGAATCCTCAATTATTTGAATATTTAAATACGCAAAAATCAATAATTTTATACTTAAGTAGAAACAGTTTTTAATATTGAATGAACTCCTCAAGTATATCTTTCTTAGAATGGAATAATCAATACGCAGATATATTTGTAATTTAATCAGAAGTAGGATTGCATATTTAATTTAAAGATGAATCAAAATGGGAACCCAGTTTAATTTTCATTTACATCAAAAAGGTAAGGACAGGAATGGTGAGTGTCAGTGACGGAAAAAGTAAACCAGTACCAATGCGCTTACACCTGTCCATGGAAGTTTTAAAACTTCAGAGGGAAGATTTAGAGGTAAAGTCTAATATTAATGATATCTTACTATCATTAATTTTATATGGTTCATAAAGAAGAATACTGATTTTCAGCAGGCAGCAAATCATAATAAGCCACCATTAGATGCTAAGGAAAGAATGGTGCAAATCACAAGACAAAAAGTTGGAGGGCTGGGATTGAGTATAAAGGGAGGTGCAGAACATAAACTTCCTGTGCTCATATCTAGAATTTATAAAGGCCAGGCAGCAGATCAATGCGGTCAACTGTTTGTAGGAGATGCAATTATTAAAGGTAAATATATTAATTATAAAATATAAATGTTTGATTAACAATATTTTTTTGCAATGTTAGATAATTATTTACTAATAAAAATGCTAATATCAAAAGGTGTTGTATCAAGCATAGAACAGTTCTGAATGCATGTGCTATTTGTGTCAGAGCTGTCAATATTGGTTTGTTTCATTGAAATAATGCTTCAATGCTAGCTATTCATTGGTACTGTTATAAAGTGCAATCTATATTCAAACTATCAATGAAGACTATGATGTGTAAAATAATAGTCTTAGAAATAACGCAATTTTTTCTCTCTTGATTTTCGACTTATTTTCGACCAAAGAACACGTCCTTAAAATATTGCCCACTAGTAGGTTTACACCCTGTATAACTGCATGTAATCACGATGATGCTGTCAACATTTTAAGAAATGCTGGTGATTTAGTTGTTTTGACAGTGAAACATTATCGCGCAGCAAAGCCCTTTTTACAAAAAACTGGTAAAAATAGTTAAATTACTTTATTATTTAGGAATTTGTTTAATTTCACATCAAAACGTTCAAATTGTTTCCAGAAAAAGAAGAGAGATTAGACAATGTTGCAAACGGGGCTGCAGAAGATGACTGGTTATCAACTAATAGACAGAGCGAAAGCCCCAGATGCGGTCACAGTAGACAAGGTTCAAATGCATCTGCAACTTCTATTCAATCTAAAAAATGGGTGGATATTATAACAGGTTGTTGTATACATGTAACAGAGTGTAACGTTTCTTTCTATTCAGTTATGAGGTATAAGAATAATATTTTATAATTCCAGTTCCATTAATGATGGCTTATGTAACGAGATATATATTTGGAACAGACAAATTGAGAAGAAATGCGTTTGAAGTAAGAGGATTAAACGGTGCCCGTACTGGCGTAATACATTGTGACGACAGTGCCATTCTGAGTCAATGGTTAAAATACATAACTGATAATATTACAGGCTTAACGCATCTACAGGTAAGAAACCTATTCTTTTCTTTAAATAATTTCTTCGCACTGATTTAATAACACTTTTTTAGATGAAGTTATATAATCGCAATTTCGGTGTTGGTGAGCGTATAGAATATATGGGATGGGTCAATGAAGCGGTAAGCAACAGTAATCAACCATGGCAAAGTTACAGACCAAGGTTTTTAGCACTAAAAGGACCTGATTTATTATTATTTGAAACACCTCCTGTAAGCAATCATAATAATCATTATTCATACAATATGCTAAAGCTATATACGTCATGCGATTAAACTTTATGGTTGCATTTGTAGTGCAACATAGGAGATTGGTCACGATGCGCGCTGACCTTTAAAGTATATCAAACAATGTTTCGTGTCATGCGAGAATCGGAAAATGTAGATGAAAGGCAACATTGTTTCCTAGCGCAAAGTCCGGGTAAACCTCCGCGATATCTGAGTGTCGAAACTAGACAAGAACTTTTGCGAGTCGAAGCGGCATGGCATACGGCGGTATGCTCAGCTGTGACCCATTTGAAAGTAACTAATTCAATTTTTTTATGAACACCATTTTTTATCTTATTGTTACATATATTTAATTTCCTTATAGAGTAAATCATTTCCTGTTACTTTTAATGGAAGAAGTGCAAGTTTAACCTTGGAATGGACTCAAGGCTTCACCCTTTCGTATGAAGACATAGGAGAGACCATATGGCGTTATAAATTCTCTCAATTAAGAGGATCTAGCGATGATGGGAAGAGCAGACTGAAATTACATTTTCAAGAATTGGATAGTATCGCTATCGAAACAAAGGTATTTATAACTCGTAAACAAAAATGACACGTTTAAATTTTATTACTCCCAATTTCTTTTTGCAGGAATTGGAATGTTCGCAGTTACAGAATTTATTATTCTGTATGCATGCATTTTTGACCGCAAAGGTTGCCGCAGTTGACCCAACGTTTCTAACGTCGACAACTCCTTAAGATTGAAGTAAGTATTATTGCCAAATAAATTGAAAAGTGGTTCAACGTTCATGCACTTACATAAACGTACAGAAATTACGGCTATTGAATTAGAGTAAACATGTGTCGAATACTAGTCAATTTTCGAGAAAGACGTTTATCGTTTCCGAAAAAAGAAAATTACATCAATATTTTATTTTAATGCTTCCAGTTTTATTTCTACGGAATGTCGATAAATTTTTATAGTGAGCAACATCGATTGCTGAAAGATATCTTACTTATACGTGTTATTATGTGTACTGCTATGAATTAAGCTATTTATTTTTGTAAATTAAAAATTTCGAAAGAGACTTATATTTTATTGACATATTTTAAGTCGACTATAAAATATAATTATTGTTGCTTTAAGTCTACAAGTGTAATGTTTTCTACAAAACTTGTTTACACAAAAGTCATATCTGCATTCATTATAGAAGAGAAGAAATATTAAGTTGCAAATTAAGAAAATCGCGCTCGTTCATGATTTTTGGGTTCCAATTGTAAGGCAATCTTCTTTGAGCAATATATTGCATATTCACGTGTTAAGTTATCTTTCACGTATATCTGGTGCCTTAAAAACCATGAACAAGGTGTAACCAATAAGTTATAAAAAAGCAAAAAACTGCATCGAAGTTGTATAGTTCTTTAGAACAGCATGTTTTTGTGCATCTAATGCCAACAAAATATACATTATCCTAGAAAAGTTACGACTTGTGTTAAGTATCGACGTATGAGATTGTATTAGCCTGATATTAATTTTAAATCAGTATTATTACAATTGAGCGAAGTGAAATAACGATGGAATAATCTAATAGCAATAAATAGTAACAGTAGACCATGGTGGCCGTCTGTTAACAAATTTGATTTGTGAATATACATATAAACGACGAGGGATAGATTCTAGGGGGCAAATGCATAAATCGTTTGAAGAAGCTTTAAGTAAAATTCATTTTTCTTCTCGAAGTTTTGCAGTGCATTTTCAAAACAATTTTCATTCATACGTACAAATGTTAAAATCTTAAAAAATATCTTACATATTTTTTCTTTTATAGTTATAAAAAAATTCTACTGCATGAGAATTTCTTATTGCCTCGTGAAATTCCATTCTATTCCTGCATCGCGTTTAAAAGTTGTACTGTTAACAATTAATTAAAGATAAATTTTGGAACAAATATCACACTTTGTGCAATTAATCTATCAATCTACAAATCTATTTAGAGCAATAAATGTATAATGAACGAAGAAATAAAAACAAATGCTGTTTAGATTACAAATTGCACTTTGTATTAATCATAATACACAGTTTTTATTGTTAGGATATTGCAAGAATTTTATCATAGCCGTCTCAAGAATAAAGCTGTGTGTGCTTACAATTATGTTAATTATAAGTAAATATATTCTATTTATCGATTAGTTAATGGTTCTCTTAGTTGAACTTAAAGAAGAGAAGAGATATTTTAGAACATCAGAACGTAAAACTTAATTTTAGTAATAAGAAAATTTCGTTTTCATTACATGTTTCAAAGGTCTCCAGTTACTTGTAGAAAGTGCCTATATAAATATACATAATACAATAGAAGTTATTTAAAAAAACTTTTTTAAACTTAGAAAATGTTCATAATTAATTTTACTTATTTCACATTTAAAATCTAAACTATCAAAATGTTACCATGGTCATCAATACCACAAATGATATACTTTATATTTAATTACTTTAGTTACTATTGAGAGGCACTCTGAAGAACTAGAAAAGACAGAAAAAAATATTATTTTATTTTATCCCAATATGTTACAGATTATATACGTAACAACCGTTTTCTTTCTATTCGATTTAATTTAGAAAATGACCACATGCATAATATAATATTGAACAATAATACAATCTAGAAATTAAGCAAACCTCACTACTGAATTTAATTACAGAAGCATCGCGATGAACTTTCATTAATTTTAATGTTGCTAAAGTAACTTCAATTATAAGCGTCCGAATGAGTAAAGTAAAAATACTGGTTTGTAGGGGATCACTTGTTAGACTTGCAATTCATTAAGGATATTGTTTAAAAGAGAATGATAGAAATAAGTCCGAATCAATGCACATATAAAATAATTATAACTAAATAGATATTGCTCTTATACATGTTGCGATATTCCACAATCTGTTTTTGTTAATTGTACACACATACATCGCGTGTATTCTATAGTTAAATTTAGATTATTATACAAAAACTGCACAATTAGATTATATAGATAAATAAGTAAGAAAGAACTGCAAAAATATGATGTTAAATTATTAATTTATACTTGCCATTGTTATTATTGTTTAATTAGGATTATGTTTCGATATATTATTATTGAGGAGACTATTTTTAGAAAATGCAGTCATTGAAGGAACCCATAGAAGACGTCATATCATTTACCTTTTCCATATAAAATATTTAAAATACGTAAATG